CATTTTCGAGTACTGAAAATTCGATGCTCCGAAGATTTTTTTCACAACATTAGTATTGTGATTAATACTCAAATATATGGACACGAAACCCGAATAAAAGAATTTGCGTGACTTCAAATGAAACCGCAAAATTTCAGGTGAAATAGTGGACTCGTGCGATTCAGAGGAAATTTGAAATATAATAACATTGAGAAGAATAAGAAAACAAGGCACTAAATTAGCATTATAAATATGACAAGAGCAAAATGCTTGAATAAACGGACATGAAAGCCAATTAAAAGTGTTTTTACCCCTAAAACGTGTTCCCATGATTTAAAATGAAACAGCAACAAATTATTGGTGATATCGGGTCCCGTAGAGCTTCTTCCATCCTCAAATAAAGCGGATTAAAAATCGATTGTTCCAACAGCAACAACATCAGCGAAAACACAATTTAGAAAAATTATCCTTGGAAATGTTCTTGTCAATTAATAAACGTCGATTATCGAAATTCAATCAGAACAAAGCTCTCAAGTACAATAATATGAGTCAACTTTCGAAATATTGTAATGCGCGTTTATTTAGACTGTGGTTATTGGTACTCTCGCTTAATTGGAATATAGCCACGGCGAGGAAATACCGCATAATTTAATCATCTGACATGTGGTTACTTAACCTAAAATGAGAATTCACGATCTAAACCATTTTCATCTAACTTTAATTAAACGTAGTCCAATTATGAAGATTCGAAACACTCGGTCTTTTATAACAAAAAATCTAGTTTTGCTTTTAACGCGTTTTCATTGGTTATTTTATGCGCCACGTTTAATATTAAAAAGTAAATAAACGAAAGTAAAAGTATATCGCACCACTGTAAAACAACACCGTCGGTTCACTTAGTAATCATCGCGATCGGTACCTTTGTCCTTAGAGCCCACCGCGGACAGGGAGAGAAATCCTGTTCTAAGCAACGCCATTCCTGGCCGAGAAAATATACATTAATTCCCCAATGGAAGTTCGCAGTAAATCGTACATTTCTATAAAATGAGAAATTATAAATGCTTTCTTCGATCATGTATGGATCGGATTTGGACCCCGCTAAATCCAGAACTAAAAAATATTTTTGCTTTCAATTCTTTGTTCAATTACCTTTATGTCGTCGTCATATTTCGTCGGCAGATGTTCAATTGAAACGTCGATGATAACCCTTTCATCACTGATGAAATACGTTCCGCTCACGCAAAGTCTGCATATATTCGATCGGTGCGTTAAGGGTTAAGGTGATACAGACTGCTTATTTATTCATGGTTTTTCTCGCTTGTCAGTCTTTGTTTCAAAGTGATAGATACCGGGTTGGGCTTCTGAACGCAGAATGACGTATTTGATTGCAGAAAGCTAGCAGGTAGTTAGAGCTGTCGCAAGGTTTCTTTTACATGAGACCACACTTCGTGAAATTCGAGACAAAAGAGCGGATGTTGACATTTTACAAAATTTTTTCGGTATTTGAAAGTATTACAAAGAAATAGAAACTCATGAGACGGCTCAATCCTCTGGCGAACCACCAAGCCATGCAGAACACCTGCTCGCAATCACGTAGGTAGAAACGAACTATTGTTACCATATCTCTCCAGACGCTTAATTTGATTTTTCACTAGATAAAAAATTTAGGTCGAGGCAGTTGGACTTAGTTGACGACAGTTACTGCAATGTTTGGAGCACTGAGCAGTATTGAAGGTATTAGTTGCAAACCATTATTTTGAGGTATTTGATACCGGTATAGGTTGAAATCTGCTTGTTTGAGTAAGTGTGATCGAGGCAGTTTGGAATCGCACCTTTGTGTTTAAGGTTGACATGGTCTTATGTACACATTTCGTCTCTAAATTAAAGTCGCATCGTTTATTTTTTTTCACTCGTATTCCCGTACGAGCCGGAACACCGATTAGAAAGTATCTTATTGTGGTTTTTTTTTTCATTTATTTTCTATGTCACAAGGTAAGATTGCCTGTTTACACCGTCTGTCTACACCGTGTATATATCCGTTACCAGTACATAAATATATTGACGCAAGTAACACATATATGCGAGTTGAAAACCCAACATTTTTAATATCTATCGTATTGAAAATCAATGTTATTGTTCACTCGCGGAATTATTGGTCCCATCGCGTTGACGGTATCGATCGGAAGATTATTAGACTTTCACTGGTTGTTACGATATATCATTCGAAGTTTGTTCATAGCAAGGTACGAGCCCTCAACTAAAAGTAGAAAGAGTACTGATAGAAGGGCTGCAAATTTGCCCAGAGCAAGGTTCCGATTCCTCAACTAAAATTGAAAAGAGTTCCGATAGAAGAGCCAACAACCCCCTTCCCTCTTGGCTGCACGTACAGAGTTTTTTGCGCGAATGGTTAAAAATCGATTCGTTCTCGAAATAGCAAGGTTGTAACAAGAGCCTTATTCTGAGTGGGAAGACTCAATAATAAAATTGATTGATAATGCCATCAACCTAAATTTCGATCTCCGAATGTTTTTCATTCAGACGACATTTTGATTTATGCACGAGACCTTTGTTAGTACCTTTCGTTGTTTATGACATCATTTAAACCGATTTAATCATATTATTATACCATAATACGATCATTCTATGGTGTCGTCTGCGTTAATTGAGCTGTTATTCGGCGAAGCTATTATTATCGCAGTGACTTGTTTTATTATGCTATTAATCTATTATGGGCATTAAACGCCATCACTTTGAGCAAGGCTAAACGCCATCACTTTGAGCAAGGCTGCAGACAAACAGCCAACTGATTCTCAAATATGAAATGCCTGACACGAGATCTAATAAAAATACATTCGTGTATGTGTGCAGCGATTCTTGGATTATAGTCATGCTTATTCTTGCTACATCATCTTCGCACTATATACATATTGATTCATAAAGGTTAAGAAGTTAATTCCGCGGAAATATACTTATGTTAGTGTGTAGCAAGACTCTTGAATCACATAGGAGGACATATTCATTTTTGTTATAAAATCTTCGCTTAATAAGCGAATAAATACACCCGCATAGAAAATGGATAAGTAGTTGGAACCGCAGTGATATATAATTACATTTGTGTTAGTTTGCAGCAGAACTCACTCTTGGTATAGTCGTCTTTACTCTTGGTACAGTATCCTAACATTATACGCATGTGGATTTGCAGGCGCAAAAGAATAGAAGTATGAAATAGTTAGGTTTGCAGAGTTATGGAAAAATATTTTTATTTATGTTAGTGTGCAGCAAGACTCTCGAATCCCCCAGTATGGACGTTTCCCCGAACTTTGACCCCCGGAAAATTCTTCCTATGCTTTTCCATTGCAAAAATTTTAGTACTTTGTTTTATCAGTGGCTTCGCGAGTTGGCGCCTGTAAACTGGGTATATGTTCATTTTGATTCAAAACATTCAACAACCTGTTTTTGAAAGTATCGGTAGAAAATTCTAGCCTAGTCACAGCTATATATATCTACACTAATTTTTGATTACTGCAATTAAACCGAAACTTTCAAGAAGACAAAATAATCATTGAATTATTTGATCCATACTTAAATTTTCGAAACACAACTGAAAACTAACAAACAGAATTCCAAAAACGGGGTAATGTTTACAACCACGACTGAAAATCTGTCTGAGTGACAAAAGTGTCTGAGCGGATTCGAAAAAGTCTATTGTTACGTCACATTCAGAATTTTGCTGATTGGCCAATGTTACGAACGTATTTAAGGAAATCGATGCGCGGGGAAACATTCATAGTGCACAAGCAATAGTCATCTCCACTCTTGCTACAGCACCATTGCATTATTTGAGAGTTTTACCACAAAAACCCGGTAATATTTTATGTTTTATCAGGATTAATTATTTAAGCGTGTGCCAAATAATTTTTATGACGTCATACTCACAGGAAGTTGGATATCAGCTGACTTCCGGTTTATCTTATCTGCAATGGAGCAATAGAAATATTTTTCAATGATTCAGTATTGTAAAGATTGGAATTATGTTAGATTTGCTTTGGCCATGGATGAAACGGGCTGTAATATCTCCAACCCACGCATGGCAGATGCATAGTGTTATAATAGGAACTGTTGTTACTGTCAAATTCAGGTTGATTTTACTGAATAATTTTAATCTGTGTTTGCATATACGTACATTGTCATATTGAGAATCCGATGCGTTAATGCTTCGCTGCAGTACAATATTAGTGATTAGGATTTTGGAGACTATCCAAGACGAGAGGATAGCACGATAAGGCGATTTATTTAGATTATTTGCCCAAAGCGAAGTCTCTGCGCACTCGGAAATCGGAGACAGATATACGAGCGAAATTACCGCCGATCACTGAAAATCAAGAGATACTGAGACTATAACGGATTATAGTGTAAAATCGCAGTTTATAGTGAATAGTACTGAATTGCACGTACTCCTGGGGAAAACCTTGGGGCGTTAATTACTTTTTGCTCAGGTCAGTTGTACTTGATCAACATTATCAGTTGCAATTATGCGAGACTAACTACCTGTCTTTATGCTTTTGTACTGTTGGATACAATGCAAGGATGCTGTAGCGAGAGTGGATCTTTACTAGTCTAAATGAGTCAACAGTCTAGCTTCGGCCGAACACAATTATATTTCTGTAGGATGACCTACCTTTCATATCTCTATACCTTTTCGCTGGTGGATCCGTAAACGTATAACGCAAAGGTGTTTTTAGAGTAAGAATATGAAATGAGATTCATACTTAATCTGATAGGACGCACGAAAGATTCCCTCCGTAAATGCTCTGAAATCCTCGAAATGAATTTTCTGTTGTTCGGCAATATCAGTCGGAAAAATGAAATTTTGTACATCTCCTAGTTTTTGGGCGGAAAGCGATATGCAGATCTCCTTGTATTGGTAGCCGCTTGTCTCTTTTCTTTTGTTGCTATTTTCCTGTTTAGTTGAGTTTAGTTCTGTGCACAGAATATTGGGAACAAGAATTTAAAGGTGTGAAATAGTTTATTTTATCTTTTTTAGATTTTTAACATAAAATTAGAAGAGCTCTAAAATTATCTTAGCATGAGCAAAGTTTTCTGCGTTCGAGATTCGAGTGCTTCCAGACGGACCAAGGCTATCAACACACCCCGATATGACGTCAGAAGTTCTGACGTGTACGATGACGTCATCAGTCACGGACATGGCGTCTCTAAAAACAACAATAACTATCCGAAATGGGATCAGATGTCTATGGACAGCGGGTTCTGTTCGGACCTTGAACGCAAGGTAGCGCAATTGAGTTTGGCAGGGTCTGATGTGGGGAGTGTCGATGAGGTTGATGACGTCAGAGCACCATCTAGAGCAAAACTTACAGAAGAAGAAAAAAGATTGAAAAATAAGATAAGGACATTACCCGTGTCTGGACGATCGACGAGATGGCATCGTTGCGATGACAACGTAAGTGACGTCAGCGATGACGACGATGACATTACTTTTGATCAAATGAAAAATACACTAACTCGACATTCTGAAAGAAAAAGCAAAACATTACCGTTAAAATACGACAAGAGAAGTGACGTCATCACTTGGAATGACATCACACTCGCTGACTTGAGACAAGTTGATGTTCTCGGAGGGGGTGGATACGCTCGAGTAGATTTGGTCGAAATTAAAAGGTTAGTCATTTCTTTTAGATGTTTCACATTCAAATTCAGCAACTTCTAAAATATGATAACCAGTAATTGCTTGTAAGCATGCAGTAACGTCGCACAGAAAAATTCAAGCCAATACCGATGCATGTGCGACCGGCTTGGGTACATCCGACGTCTGTAGTTGGTCAATTTTTATGATCCCAGGTTCAAGCCAGCGCTCGGGAGCTGGTCCAAAATCCCAGTGGCCTTAGCCCCGAATGTGAGTTCCATGGATACGACTCCCTAGCCCTGGTTCGAACTTTATGTCTCCTGCTTCACCCAGCGTTTAGTCTCGAAAGGACATCGCTCTACAAATGTTTCTGCAAGAGTGGCTTTTTTTTTTATACGAGTTGTTTCCACACGTTCACTTCCACGAAAAAGCAGTCACTGATACGAGATGAGCCAGTATATATATATTAGGAAAAACCGAAATATTCCCAGTTTTAATTTATAACGCCTTTGAAGAACTGGTGGGCACATAGATTGAAACCAATATTTTTCATCTGCGGTACTGGCATAGTCAGGGCTACCACTAGTCACTTTGTATCCTAAATATCACATCTCTTTCCAGACTCTCCGGCCACAAATTCGCTCTCAAGAAACTCAACAAACGCTTCCTGCAGGACAGAGATCAGGTTAATCACGTGATCTCGGAGAAAGACGCACTGAAGCGTGCAAGATGCAGGTAAACAGTCCATCAGGCGTAATTTTTTTCATACCCTGTATAGGTCAATGTGTTCCAGGATGTCTTGTTGCACTAACACAAATGTGTTTTGTATTCCTGCCTATAAAAATGATTATTCTTTTCTGAGTGATTCGAGAGTCATGTTGCCAGCTAAAACAAATGTATTCCCGCTCATAATGCAAGATAAAGATGATTATTCTAGGAGTGATTCAGGAACACCGTTGCAAACCAATACAAATATTACCATATTTATGTCAGTGTGCAGCAAGACTGCTGAATCACATTCTATGGTTTTGAACAGTTATAATCTTAAGTTCATATATTTACCAATTTGAGAAACCCTATAGTCTTGTAATACACCCTGCAGATCTGTTTCAACAAACTTACCGCACCAACACTAAAATATATATCTCTGCGTATAATTAAGCAAGAATAAAGAGGGCGATTCAAGTAACTTGATGTATATCAATTTATTAAGCCCTCGTCTTCTTGTGTTGCCCGTTTTACTATCTCTACAAATTTGTATTTCTGAAATTTTTGCTCACAAATTTAAAATTATAACACCCCCAATAATTTTCAGATTCATTCCTCGACTATTTCGGACTTTCCAAACTCCAAGTCACGTGTTCATGCTCACTGAAGCGTGTTTAGGAGGCGATCTGTTTTCAGTTTTGGAAAACCATGGTGCTCTCCACTATGAAGCAACACGTTACGTCATCGGTTGCGTCATAGAAGCATTGGATCATCTTCATATGACGTTGAATATTATACACCGTGACGTCAAAACAGAGAACATTTTGATCGATGCTAATGGTAAGTTTTACGCTTATACGTGGTCAGATGTGACCTCCAAAAAACAGAATCATTGGTTACTTCTACAAAAATGAAGAAAATTTATTCAACATCGAGCTTCTGTTTGTGCATGATGGTGCCTAAAAGTTTCAATAATCTAATACGCTTTACAAAATATATTTTCTCTATAATATTCTCCAAATGACCTGGGTCATGTTTTCTTTGGTTACCCTATCGATATTAACACTATTACATTGACAGTCTTGAACACAAAACGCCTAAAGATCGAAAAACAAAATTTGGTTCGCTGATTATCCCGACATTCCAGGGTGGGTCCCACTGAATACCACCACTGGTCAGAATCCACGGGACTAATCGTTCATTTTCTTTGCAGGCGTCGCAAAACTAGCCGATCTAGGATTCTGCAAGCAACTACCTCGAAATTGTGATATCACATACACGTTCTGTGGCACTCCAGGGTAAGTTTGTTTTTATTTTTGGTAAATTGTTTATCACAAGGTAAGATTGTCCATGTAGCACTCTTATCTATCTTGAGTATTGTAATTTTTTGTACCATGGTGGAGTTATAATGAAGGATCTTATCTTGCTTTATTATTAGTACTGTATTCAGATTTAACACAAAGTTCGGACACGCTGGAACGAAATAATTGGTTAATTACTACCAAATATGAGACGTTATACACCATTTGATAGGGCAGTCTTAACGACTTTCCTCTGTCCCTTTGTATTTACGCGCAAAGTTACGGCGGTATAGTTGCAATATGTAGGAGTAATGAATGCGAGAGGATTTACGGAGTTCCCGCCACCACTAATATACCCGACCTGGTAACTGAATTAGAGGCGTGATACATGATGCGATTGGGTAGTTTTATTGGCTCTCCACTCTCTAATGGATTTGAACACGGATGTTACGAAAATATAGTTGTAATATGCGCGAGTAATCTGTGCAAAAAAAACGGCCACACTTCTGTCAAGCGCAGTCCAGTTACATGAAACAGTTAACTGGTTAACTATTGCCATATCCCATATGGACGGGTGAAACGGGATACACTGTTCCATTATGGCATCTTATCGGCTTCTCTCTCTCCCTTTAGAGTCACGGAGATATAATTGTGTTCTTATTTCTAGATATGTCGCACCTGAAGTTTTACTTCGAACTGGACATGGCCGAACATGCGATTTCTTTTCAACTGGCGTTGTCTTATTTGAGACTTCGACCTGTCGTTCTCCGTTTCGGAGACATTCGAACTTGGAAACCCACCGAGCGACTCTCAGGGGAATAAAAGGTATGTTGACTACACTGGCTTGGGGTTTGGAGCGGGGTTGAGTAAACTACGACTCACGGGACTCAAGCAATCTGTGCGCACCTGCTCTTGCAGAAAGTTGTGAAACTATAACTAAATACACCATTTAGAATACTATTAAAAGAATTGTTTTTTCTCTCGTTAAACAATTTCAGCAACCATTAAATTTGACACTATCATAGCGAATTGGAATAACAACTGTGACGTCCCATGTAGCCCTTTGCGATTTTCCCAATTGGCACACCCTTCGGTCAGAGATGTAGACCTAACTATATTGCGTTAAAGATCAGGAGTTTGGGTTAAAATGCCATGCCCACCATCTAGGCTGGCCTCAAATTAAATATAAATGTAGGAAGTGTAAATCAACGACAACATGAGGGGAGATTCGGGTCTAAGGTTTCTCGACTGATTTTTTATTTGCTCATGTCAGGGTCGGATATAAAAGGATTCGTTCCTCGAATATTCTGAACCTTCAAAACTTCTAATTACGGAGTTAAAACATCATGTCCTTCATCACGGTTGGATTCGCTATTCTGTTTTCATTCAATAAAGCTCATGGTCCTCCAAAACCTTTTTATCTACTCTTATAATGTCCCTGGAACACTGATGGGGACCTCTGATTTAGGAAAATGTGTTGTGCTCTTAACGCTCAACGCTGTCGTGGCCTTCCATTGCAAAATACTTAATAAAAATGAGATATATTATTTAACCTAATCATTTTTCAGATGTGGCTTTTCCGCCCTTTTTAAACCACCTGACTATTCAAATGATTCGAACTCTTTGCTGTAGCGATCCAGATGGAAGACTCGGAGCAGCCGGATGCGAAGAGGTAAGTCATTTATTCGCTGCTTTTAATTAGGAGCTGGAATTTTGATATCAGCATATACCCAATGGTTATTGATGAGCTGATAAACGGCATAATGATATGGCGAACCATAAAATGCCGTCTACTTTTACCACTTCAGTTCAGAGCAGTGCTACCCAACAAAGTGACCCAAATTTTTTTTAAATAAATTTTGTAAAATATCTCGGATCAATATGGCATGTGGTGTTTTATAACCGCAAAATAAAATGACAAATGCATAAAAATCATTTTTAACAAAATTTATTTTCTCGGGAATTACTACAAAATGAGTAAACTATTGAGCAACACTTAAATACCGAATATAAAATCAACAATATTATTCACCAGAAAATAAAATCAACAACTTTGGGGTTTTGTTAAAAAAAAGAGAACCAAGAAGATACTCAAGTGACCCAGTTTTGGGGTCGCGACCCAAATAGGTTGGAAAACACCGGTTTAGTGTCTGAGCCTCGGCAAACCTGTATAAAAATGATAACACAATATATTCAGTAATCGGATTTATATTATTTGCAGATTCGTCGCCACGAGTTCTTCAATGGATTTGATTGGCACCGATTACGTCATGGCAAAATGACGTCATCAATCCTAAACCTTACGTCACGAAAACAAGCTTCATCATTCATAAAAGACGATTACACTGAGAACTCCACTGAGATTAAGAAAACTCCTTTTGACAAAACTTGGAATGACAATTTTTAACGTTATCCTACTTTTTTTGTTTTTATTTATTATATGATATTTCTATACGTGTCGACAACTGCTAAGTGCTGCCAGCCATGCTTGGCAGAAATGACTGCGTGAAGCAAAGCTGAAAAAATTCTTTCAGCTAGAACTTTTGTATTTCAATATGTAGAACAAAAGTGTTTCTGACATCGTTATATAGACATTAGTGATGCGTTTGTGATTCTAATTGACAGTATTTATTGTGATGCGCTTTGTAATTTCGCTCGGGAAAACGCTTCGACGAAGCAGAACTAATTAGAAAGATTTTGAAACATTCTTTCTATAACGTTTCGCCTAATATGCTAATCGCTAGGCCAGTGTTTATCAACCCATGGGACGACTGAGAATCATTTTGGGTCTCTTGTTTTTTCAGCAAACACATAAAAGTTATTGATTTCACTTTCTAGTCAATTTTACTATTTATTTTGTATCTGGTATTGAAGTGTTACTCGATAGTAATTGTATATGTTGGAAGAGGTGACCGTACATTTGAACCCATGTGTATATCCGCGGCTTCAATCTATATGCGGGTGCTAAAACCCATGGGTTAGGGTCAGTTAGTATGGGTTGAAATATCCGTAAAACAAAAAAAATTTCATAGGTGCAATTGTCATGGGTTTAAATGTACGTGGGTTCAAATGTAATAAAACCGTTGGAAGTATCACACAAAACTTGGCGGCATTTACTTTGCTGAGAAAAGCCACACCATCATTCTTTTGTAGCAAAAATTTAATTTTGCGACCACGAAGGTCACCTGAAATAATGTTGGAAACCATTGCGCAATCGTGAGTTGCATGAATACAGAGTTATCGAAGACCACAACTGGAAATACCACCTTGAATATTTTTATTATTAAGTTTTAACGCCATTTGCAGCCGCCCACGACCGAAACATCCAGCTCGCTCCTCACACACGGCTAATTATAACTAAACTAATCACAATAACAAGAGGCTCATATTAAAAATATATGTATGGGCGCTCTGAGATGAATCCTTTTTTATCATTTTGTTTTACCATTTGAAGCTGTATGTTTTGTTTGAAACTATTGATATAAATATTTACTGGAATTTTCATGGAGTTTTTTTTTAGAGATGGTTTAAATGGGTGAGAACTATTGTTAAGGAGGGTGACTAAACGCAGGGATTCCCAAAGTTGATTGACCGCGGGCCAAAATTTCAAGCTGAAAGACATTCGCGGGCCAGGACAGGGGAGTCGTGAAAAGGCCGGCTAGAGCTCGGCTGGGGCACGCTGAAGCGTCCTGAGAAAATTTAAAACATGAAGTGGTAAACGTATTCGTATTTATTCACGGTTAAACTATTTTTTTCACTCAAGTTCGGCAGGACATTTCACATCGTTACACGGGCCGTCATTGGCACGCAGGTCGCGGTTTGGGAACCTCTGTACTAAATTCTCAACAAAATGACTTGTCAACTCGCCATCAGTGAGACATAACTCAGTGAATACCTCCACTGAACTCGCAAGTAAGGGTTCAGCGACTAGGAGACAGATACTGATACCTGAAACGTATTACTGTTTCTGATAAGTCAGACGTTGTCTAAACCAGGACTCCTGAACTTTTAAGCTTGCGATCGCTATTCTAATATATTGAAATTCCGCGACCGCTGTTGAGTCGACATTGTTATGCAGTCGCGCCGCTTCTCTGATCTTATGTATTCGTTCAAAATTGTAAGATTTATGTTTTGCACTAGTTTTGATAATTGTGCTTCTAATCATAGGTCTAAAAAAGTTATATATATATAGTACTTTGTGTGAAATTGGCGCACTTTTTGCGACGCCTAAAATTCGTTGCCCATGTAGGGTCGCGACCAGGGAAGCACTGACCTAAACGATTTTTACACTCCGGACGATTTGGTGCTGGATAAAGAGTTTGAAGTAAAAGATCTTCTATCAGTATAGGCTTGCACGTAATTGACAAAAATCAATTCCGTAATTACGGCCAAATCGATTACGTAATGACCCCGTAATTGCGATATTTTTTTCACACATTTAAACCTATCATAACAACCAATTTAATCCACTTTTATTCGGAATGGGACATCGAAGTTTGGTTTTCATATTCCCGGCAGTACTACACGCCGGCGACAGATGTTAAAGACAAATATCAAGGAGTGAATTCAAAATAATTTTATTCTGATTTTTATCTTTTGTATTAGCTTTGATTTTTTTTATCCACTTTATCACCAAATTTTATGCGATCAATTTTATCATTACCAACACTGGTAATATATTTAAGAAACGATAGTTCACTTTTTTAAAATCGTATGAACGTATTAATACGACTTTCGTATTAAATAAAAATTCCGGGTTGCTAATTTATTAATCAACTATACAAGCGTATTCTCTCGTTTGATTATACTTTCGCTTGCCTGGCGACGAAGACTTGTTATTTCACCGTTTTTTACAATATCCTACTTTACTACTTAGTTAGCATTTTATAACAATTATTGATGCCGACTTATTGATAATATTCCGAATTCCATGCTCCATTTTACATTAAATTATTTCGCGGCCTAAAAGTTATAACATTATTTGCGATAAATTTAGATCAAATATTAATTATTTGCGCATTATTTAAAATACCGTACTTATATGACATGCCTTCTCCGAAAATACAAAGTTATGTCGAAAACAATGCATTTTGTGACATTTATTTTGCACTCATGAAAATATTAATTTATTTTTCTAACTCAAGTCGACAATCCTATTTGCCAAGATTGACATAAGTTTGGTTAAGTGCCGGTGGTATTCGAGTCGACGATAAATCAAAATAAGTTGCCGCATTTGGTAAAGACAGGTAATCATATTTGGCCGACATATTGTGAGGCATTGTGAAAAACATATTGAGCAATGCCAAGTCCGGACAGATATATAACGATAAAATCGGTAACAGAACATCAAGATTTTGTAATAGAAAATTGATCTCGCGCAGAATAAACACGTGAAATCCCGCCGTATTGTTGTTTCTCTGCCGTCTTAATCGCTTTACCGATGCTGAAAAGACTTAAGTTGCGTTGGTTCATTACGCAATTTCTCTTTCGTCTTTATATTGCTGTTTGATAAGCGCGACATTAATTATCACGGCATTTACAAATAGACCATGTTTTATAAGTTCATCTCTTACATTCTTTAGTCATTTCACCCGAAGAAGTTGAAACCAGGTGTGTTGGCGTCCATCGGTCTCAACACAATTCTATTCCTTATCTACGGTTAATTGGCCATCCTAGATAAGTTGATAATAGGTTAGTAAATGACGCGTTATGCCTTCCCCATCTGCCTAACAAGAGAGAGAAAAACGGCTGCGAATACCGGAACTCTAACTTCTTTTACTTAAACTTTAATTTTTTACAATCGACGGAATTGACTGCTCTGAAGAGAGCTCGTTTCAATCGCGAAAGCGCTCGACCAATGATCACGACTTTACGTAATTCGTAACTTCGCTTCCGTAACTCGAAATAATTCCGTAATTCCGTAAATCCGTAAATTACGTGCAAGCCTACAGTATCAGACTGTAACGCCAACATGGACGCAACGGGTACAACAATGACGAGAATCGTCTGTACTATTCGGAACCAAGATCTTTAGTCGTTTGACGCTAATATAAGAAAAACAGAGTCGGTTTGTACACATAAAACCTAACTAAATTACATATTTAGAATAATAAAAATATAACGTGACGTGAAACATACCAAAATAGTTTTTCACACTGCGGCAATGAAGCAGTAAAAATGGGGATGAAATGGGTAACTAAACAACACAAAAAATAATGAATATGATACTGAAACAATTAACGTACCGTCATTTTGTTGGGTGATATCCGAACTCACGATATTTCCATTCTTAACTCGACGGAGAGATGTAACACTGTTGCATAGATCTTCATCTTGCAATCGTTGCCATACTTGAAACCATTTATGTTTATCAAAACCATTAGAACCTGGAAATGTTCGTAATTAGTGATTAGACTATATCAATAAAGTGTATTCAAATTGCTCGGCATTTCCGTAACAGAAAAAAATAACGGAAATAACTGAGAAGCATTGCTCAAATAGATTGGTAGGAAGACACAAAACTAATGCCGATTATTGATTTATCAAATAACAAATACAATGACACGCACGAAGAGAGAAATAGCTAAGAATATTGACAGGAAAGTAACTATCAACTGCAGTAGCCTATTGGCCAATGCTACCTGTACATTAAACTGTCACTGATCACCAAATCAAATCTGTAAACCAAGTACGAAACCAAGCGGCCTCAAATATCTTTAAGTAGTAAAATTAGAAATCAATTGGTGCAGTGGTTGCGGAGGAATGCGACTTTTCCACAAAAAAACCCGAACAATTTTTTCAAATCAGGGTTGGTCAAATTGCAGGCCACATCTGACCTACTTGTACTTGCTGAATTACGACTAGTTTCAAGAATATAAATTTATGTTGGAAATATCGAATCGTCGGATAAAATATAGACCTTAGTTGCCCATGTATCAATCCCGCCTGAATATAATTTGCCAAACAAGCCAAGTATTCCTCAAACTCACCCATTGGAAATAGCCTACTCATGTCGTCCTAAACCGCTATCTGCCAATACTAGCGTCTGGTATATCAGCGTTTAGGCCTGCAAATCACGCTACCTTTGATGATATTTTCTTGCGGCCGTGAAAACTGCAACACATGTTGTTACGTCCTGTCCGGTACATCAATTTTAGTAATTGAATCCAATTATTCTTTATGTTATCACGTCACTTGCTAATCTTTCAATGTTATTTCCTGCAGCAAATACATATTGCTTCACATCAGTGGAACGAGCAGGCAGGCAATTGACTGATAGATTTGCATTCTATGAGACGCAATGACTTAACGAACCTTTCACTCGTCAATTCAAAAGGGAAGTTTCAGTAATTTTATTCGTAAACGATAGGAAAGTCGCCTCATTTACTGTCTTGGTACCTACAACCTTGCGCATGAATGAGCGATATCGAATAACGGCATAATGACCCCGATTGTTACGTTTGCTGCAAATATGTAAACTTTAGCCTAGCTAAAGGGCTTCTTTTTCTGTGCAGTTGCCCTAATTCGCCAGTCCCTGTAATATTTCTATTAGTATGAGTAGGAAACGCAAAGTGGATTCCGAATGTCGTGTTTTAACAAGGAATGAAGATAGAAATATTTCTTACAGACACTGTTCAATCGAAAACTGTTTGTTGCACTTTAGCTGTTTCGCTAATAATTTGTATTTAAACTATTTTTATTCATAGTCGCATATTGAGCCTCCGGCCCAGTAATTAAATCTATAATTTGTAACTGGCTCACTCAGCAAATTGATTGCCCATTACTGTGCTAAATTATTCAAAAGGCCATTCACTGCCCGAAAACAACAGTAACCCAAAATATACAACTGCTTGGCATTTGAATGATCTTTAAATGAAGTCTCTAAAAGTATTCTATCTTACTCTAACTATTAACAGTGCAATCTATCAGATATATACATAACAAATACCTTTGAAAAGAATACATATATCCAGTAATACTACCCACGACAGTTCGCGTGTGCTATTGTGGGTAGCGGTGGGCAGGGGCTCAAGGCAAGAATACGGACTGGTTGACCACTTTAAAGTAGTTACTTTGTCTCTGTTTAGGAAGCTGCCATCTACGAGTATGTTAACCTAGAAGGCTCTTTCATATCTTTTTTACCTCATTACCTACTTCTACAAAACTCTTTCTTCAACCGTCTTTTGCTACAAACCAACCTCCTTGTCGACGATCTGCCCGTGCGCCAATAATGAACGCTTTCCCTCGCTCAGCCTGTCGGAGCATGCCGTTACCTTTACTCGATGAGCCCCTTTCCTGGCCTCTGGGTCGGCATGTGCCTCTTTTCTTTCCTTCTCTCGGGTCTATTTCCTGTCTCTGCGGAGATCACAAATCACAATCCCACTACTACCTATTCTATAGCTAGCTACCTGCACCTCTACCCTGTGGGATTTGAACCCACCCTTGCATATGGTCTCATGTTTACCGCACTCGCACGCTTCCTTTGCGCCACCAATACTGATGAGGCCTGTCAGGATTCATATCTTATTTAATTAACTTGGGACACTAAAGTTGGGACACTCTTCACTTGCACATACTTATTTTCATGAAAATATTAAACAGCTTCAATATTGCTATTGTCCCTGCAGCTGCTGATTGTTGTTGAGTCGGCAGTTAATCTCTCTCCACCTGTTCTACATCTAATGTTGGTGTGTCGGGTTCTGTAGCATGCACAGCAAATTATTTTATTTATTTATTTTTCAAATGGCTATTTACACTCTGACATCTGCATGCGAATGTTCCCTTTTTGCTTAATGTTGGATTTTTGACATTACACATGCATGGTCTTTGTTTCTATATGGGTGGTGTGATACCTTATGAGGGTTGTAGACCGTATAGTTTAGCTCCTGTACCTATTATTGTAATTAGGCGACCAGTGGAGATATATTGGATTCTCCCCTTCGTTTTAATTTGTTGTGGTATTCTATGATTTGTTTTGTGTGTATACAAAATTTCATCCTAGGTTGAGGTTCTGCTGTGAAGTTAATGTGAAGGCCAACATACGAATGGTCAGTGTGGTTTGAGAGTTTCTGCATGGTTTGCGAGGAATTCACCCTGTGTCCCAACCATATTTCAACTCTGGTCTTTAGACTAGCGTTTTAAAGATAGATAACTAATAATCAATATCTACTAGAAATAATAATTAATTCTAAACAAAAGTGTAGGGTAGTGCTGTTTCCAAATATGTAACCCTTGAACATCCTACTCGCAGATTTATTTTCTGTTTTTCAGGTCGTTCCGTGATGATCAATACAATGGCTAGTTTATTGAATATAAATGGTGTCTACAACAACAAAATTCGCAGGCTGATGTCTCATCCACGATAAACTTGAATTGACATCTATTACGCCACAATAATTAAATGAAGAAATGATCCTGCAAAATAACAATACTAATTTCTTTATTCCTAATTCCTTTATCCTTGCAGAAGTCAATATCTAAAAATGAAAAAAAAAACTTATACCCTTAGCAACCAACATATTCCTATACCCTGTTTTTCTACCTTAATTAATTATAATTACTCATACCTATGAAGTTACTGATAGATTTAAATACTTATTACAATCTGGACTATAATTTGGCAATAATAGGCTCTAGTTTGGGCAATGAAGTGGTCTAGCCCAGTGATTCCCAAAGTGGGCGATATTGCCCCCCGGTGGGCGAAAACGATACAGAGGGGGGCGAAAAAGTCGAAGGGGGCGATAGGGGGGCGATTTCGCCCTGTTACTTGTACCTTTAAATACTTATTACAATCTGGACTATAATTTGGCAATAATAGGCTCTAGTTTGGGCAATGAAGTGGTCTAGCCCACTTCTTCATGCACCCAATTCTGGCAACTTTGGTTGGGCATTTTGGCATTTGACTCCATCTATAATCAGCTTGACAATATATTTTTTTATAAAAGTTTATCTTTACTGTTCACTCCCATTTATAAAATTGATCAATTTAGCAGTGGCAATCATCATAAATTTATTAATAGGGTGTGGCAAGTAATTTTTATTTATTTATTTTTTCATAACTACCAGTATGTAATTTTTCATGTTCCCTTTACTTAATAACTTCTATATGGTTGTGTGTGTGGGTGCGAGTGAGCGTGTGTGAAATATTTCAATTATTTCAGGTGAGTGAACACGTACCACATCTTCTTGGCAAAACCTCTTATATACATTCTGTACGTTTTAAACCTTATCTAAGGTTTTGTTCGCTCTCCTGATTTCATAATCAGTTTTTATTTATTTATTTTTACCATTCATTTTATTGTTTTGCTGATTATGGAGTCGAAATAAACTTATACTTATTATAACTACGTCACACTCGGCCAACCCCGACGATTAACATTAGGGAGCGAAATGTTGATCTGGTTTCATCGTGTGTGCCTTGCTTAAGTGATGGATGTGTGTAATTATAATTTAAGCAGACAATGTCGGACCGGAACAATTTCGCCCTTTCAAAAACCGATGTGGCCTAAAAAAATACATTGATTTGCTCAAACTACAGTCACAATGCGGTGATAGAATCAGTTTATTTTTATTATTATCAAAATATCAAATAGTACGATCACCGGATTAACCGGAATTCAATGTTTTGCTTATTTTAGACTCTTTCATAACAGCTGCTGGTCTTGTGTGATATTTGCACTTCGCGTTGTTTCAGAATTTGGCGTTCATTGCCTATTTTGACGGCATATTTGTTAATTTGCAGCTAGTTTTTTTTGCTTGAAAATCAAAAAAATAGCATTAATACCAAATCACTAATGTATAGCTATTATACCCGAAATTGAAAGCGGATGGGTCGCTGTTACGCTGTCACGCAGTTCAGCAGATAAAAGATAGCAACATCTGACTGACTGATGTGATAGAACTTTAAAATACTGCATACCGGTACTGAGTGATATAGAATGATTTGTTCTGATTTGCTAAGCAGTGAGTAGCCATAAGTCTGTAAGCTGATATGCATATATACAGATGTAACTGTAATGTTTATTCATGTAATAGTAAATGCCCTTATTTTCTGCATTTGCCTGATTAATAGAATAGGATTTACATATTTATCCCGGGGGAGAGGAAAGCCGTTAACTATTAGATAATTATCAATAATTAATTAATTAATAATAAGTTTACTTTGATTCCCCCAAAAAACATGCACAGACAGACGAAACAAATAATGAACACACAGAATAATGGGAGAATAGGAAGACTGGCAAAACCTCTAGTAAAGTTTAAAACATGTACACAATTCACTGAGGCATGACTGGCCAGAATAATCTCATTATTTCAGCATTTTCAGGTATTTATTTCTTGGTAACAGGGCACTCCAATGCTGCTATTATTTTGGGGTTTGAGTTCAGGTAAATCACACCATCCCTACCAACAGACTTTTTAGAAAGTTGATTAGATGTAGGTCAGTAGGTAGAGGGAGGCGGACAACTCGACTATACAGGCAACTCACCAGAGACAACTCGACTACAGACTGACAGAGAGGTCTGTTGAGTTGTCAGCCCATTCAGACACTGCTGCAGTCAGACAAGGTTCGGCAAAGTTTTTTTATGTGAGGCCCAAATTCTGAAATGGTAAAAAGAAAAGGTTTTCAAGGCACAACAATTTCATTGGAAATTTTAAATTCAACCATGTAACAAACTTGTTAGGGGACATCTTGGATTTACAAAACTTCTTGTGTATCACTGCCATAATAGAAATTTATTAGGGCCACTAGAAAATGCTCGGCGGCTCACAGTTTGCCGACCACTGGCCTAGCATATGGCCTGTAACATGCAGATACTCTCAGCAGTTAGAATAGAACTGTAGAATAGTCAAAATTTGAAGCGAGGCAGAATTTTAGGTTTCTAGTTACTGTGTTATGTTTGTGTGTTGATTGCTGTTGAATAATTTTGTCCATTGGCAAAGAAATTTTGCAGATACACACAGTATTTTGTGATATTTGCTCATTCTGTCAGATGTTTAGATATATTTAGATGCAAATAATGACAACACAGGAAAAAAATTATTCAGCCTCTAGTGCTCTACAGCCATTGTAGAATTGAAAATTTCTTTTTAAAGAATGTACATTTCCCAAAGTATCGACTTTCTAATTAATTTATGTAACATTGACTAGTCAGCCAGCTGTCGACAGTGACATAGCAATTGAAATTTTAGTGGCTATTCTGACAAAATTTCAAAGGCTGTGATGTTAACTTTAGCTGTTTCCTTGGTTTTTGGCAATATTTGATAGTTTTCAGTTGTGTTTCTGACGTTTATTTATGACCAAATAACTCGATCGTTATTTTGTCTTCCAAGCAGTTTTAGTTTAGTTATTTTGTCTCCTAAAAAAATTCTTTAAATCATTTGGGTTCTATGTAACTTTCAATGTCCATAATACAGTAGTAGATTATCTTGTTACCTTGTTCCACAGCATAACATTGTAATGTAGGACATGGATTCTACAACATCAGGAATCATCACTAACCCAGTGTGTACGACCAATATTGTGGCAACAGCAATGTCATCTGCTAATCTGTCTCCAACAGCTGGTAAGTTATGGACTGATTTCATGCTTATTATGGGGATAGGATAGGATTTACATATTTATCTCAAGGAGAGGAAACCCAATAAGACAGCCTAATCATATGGCGAACAAACCGACGGTTAGTGAACCACCACTCAGCAATCCTCTCTCACATAATTACTGTATCTGTCACAGGAATCGTATCTGCAAACCTAAACAGGGTAATCAGATGTGCAGTGGCAAGCGTATTTTTAGCGCAATACGCCACAATGCCGAGCCTTTATCCAGAGGTGAGTCTACTTTACCATAGTGAGTGCACCACAAAAACTCTATATTGTTTCGGTAGTTCTTGTGTGGTGGGGGAAGCAGTAACCAACAAGCGGTTGCATGAAGCACCCGATAACGAGAAGTCCAGCAATCATCTTACATATTAAAATCCTCTTAAAATTTATCTTTCCTCCAAGGCTCTCCTGTAAGACTTCCATTAATGAGCACATCTCCTGTAGGATCTCATTCTCCTCATCAATTTGAGCAGAAAGATCTAGAACACAGATTCTCACCAGTGTCTCCAAACCGGTAAGTTGTGTATTCACGCGTGACTGCTGTCAGGAGTTGTGCATTCAAGCATGACTGCTGCCAGGCAAGATTTATTGAACTTGAACCAAAACTGAATACTAGTAATTTTGAAATGCTTTTCATTCATACAGTAAGTCATTATAAGTCATGTTGCGTGTGTGTATTCAAGCATGACTGCTGCCAGGAATTATGCATTCAAGCATGACTGCTGCCAGTAGGCGTTGTTCTCATTGAAAGAATGAGAACAGTATGGTTAATATTTTAGGAATGTTTTTTCTTAATTAAATGAGTAAAGGCTTTTTTACATGATAAGTTATCGGTAATATAGTCATATAGTTGTAGGATTTGTGCATTCATGCATAACTGCTGCCAGGTGAACTGGAACAAGAGCGAACTGAATACCAGCTCTATTATAGGCCTACTAGTTGTTTTTAAAATGTCATTTTATTTACATGGAAATGCTGAATGTAGCTATTAAATTATTGAATCGTTTAGTGACTGTGTATATTCATGCATGACTGTTGCTGAGGCAACTTCATTGAACTAGAACTAGAATATCCAATAGATTAGGCTAAGATGATAAGAGATACAGAAAGAATAAATGTTGGCATTTCGTATTATGATATTGAGCTATAGGCTGAGCCAGAATGACCTGTAGCTGTAGTGGAACTTGTATCATCTGCACATCTGCTGTTCTCATGCTCTTCGAATATATTTCATTTATAAATCCATTAGAAGCAATGTTGCAGTTTGAAATTAATAAACTATTTGTTGAATGCATTTGTAGTTTGCGGAGATATATGACTGATATTGCGTGCACATATTTCAGTAGTCAGCCAGGGGGTGGGAGTTGAGGGACCCGCTAGCTCAGGAGTTCCCAAGGTTTTTTCATCACGACCCTAAAGACAACTTTCAAGTGTCCAGTGCGACCCCAGGTCAATATATATATATTTTTCATGAAACTTTACAGCTTCTTTCACTGGACTTTTTGAGATTGGTCATGTGATGGAATTAAGTACAATCAGCTAAAACCAAACAGTGATGTCACAATAATCACCCACATTTTCTTAAGCATAAGCATAGAGCGATGCCTATGGGCCTGTTTTACAGTAAGCCATGGTACAAACTGCTAAATTTAACATGGTTTATCAAATCTTAGATGGTTTGTACATCCATCCTACACTATACCTCAGCGACCCGACCGACCCCATGACCTGTTTGCGACCCCACCTACTTATCACTCCGACCCAATTTGGAGTCGCGACTCGCGACCCTTGGTTTGGGAACCCCTGCACTAGCTGTTTGTTCTAACTTGTCAATTTGAAATTTCAGAACCCCCTCTTTAAAAATTTCTATCTATGTCCCTGGACCCTGGTAGTTCCCCTCTTGTGTTGAAAATTTGTATTGTCATGATGCTCCCCCTTCAAAATAATTTCCTTAAAAATGTAGTTTCAATCAATGGTTCTGTTGGTTTTAGTAGTGTCAGTGAGTCACGCTTTTTCTATGTGTCATTGTGGTACTTTTGGTGTCGCTGCTCGATAACCTGCTTTGGTTCATTGCGACTTCGATAGTATAACTGTGTGATTGTCTTTTTTCTGCATATTCTGTGTAAGATTGATTTTTTCACAGGGTGATATAATAAACCTTGTTTGCGTTTAGTGTTGATTTATATTTGCAAGTTTGTTTTTAAAAAGTTTTTTATATAAAGAGAATCTCATAAAAAATCGGCTGTTGAATGTTGTAAAATGATTTGATACTTGAAAAAGATGAAATTAAAAATGGAACCAGGGTCATTTAAAAAATTATCTAGAGAGATGTAACTTTTGTGCAAAACGTCCTAGATTACAGGGGTCGGCAACCCCTGGTTTCATAAACTGGCTTGCCGAGTTCAAAAGGTTGCCGACCCCTGTTACTGAAACTTTGCGCATAAACATACACAAACAGAACTTCAATACAGAACCCTGGTCATTTGTAACATAGTCTAGAGAAAACATAACTTTTTTGCAAAGCGTCCTTGATTACTAGAACTTTTTGGTAAAATCATATACAAACAGAAGTTTAAGATTTGAATAAATTCCTATTCCTTTTTTCATTGGTACCTAATTTGTAAATTTATGGGTACTGTTTTTTTTGGTTTACCTTATATTTAAGTGTCTGACTTTTATTTTATTTAAATGGGAACACATATAGCAATGTCAGATCATTAAGTCATTAAGCATTTGGAAAATGCTTTTGTATTCAATCAATTCGGTGATTTCAGTTTGGTTTATTAAACTTGTCCCAGACTTGAAGACAGATAAATATAAAGAAACTGAGAAATCGATTTACATGAATAAACAATCATTTGTAGTTTCCTAAGTAAACGTGCGTTAACCTAATCACTTCTCAGAATTACTTTAGTTTTTGTAAAATTCAAATTTTTTGTGTCAATTTAGAACATTTTTGGTTCAAATTCAAACATGGTATTTATTTTTGTCATGCAATTTGATGGTTCCATGATATGACATTGCTTCATTAGTCTTATCTAAATAATAGTAAATTTGAAAATTAAGAGAATGACTACCAATACATAGATAGATCTAACATTACCACACCATTCATAAATACCTGAAAGTCATGCACATACATATTTCCAAATGGTGGAATGAGAGAGATTGTCCTTCGGTGTGTCGGTTCTTCATTTCTATCAGTAAATACTTGTCTGGAGCATTGTAAGGAATTAATGTGAAAAATATGAGATAATTTGAAAATGGCACCATGCTAATCTAAAAGAATAAAAATGAAAATGGATTCAAAAAACAGTTATGTCGCCTGTATTTGTCAAGATGCCACGAGAAACTTATGTCAGCCATACTGAATGAATGATATATGTTTAGATCAATTTAGATTTAGTTTTTTGACATTTGTCATTAGTCATATTAGTCTTTGAATTCTTTAACCACATAATAAACTTGTTGAAATGAAGGTGCAGACACTGTTTTCATCATTTAGAATAGAATATTCAAAATTTGAATTAAAGCAGTTGTTACTATATTACGTTTGTATGTTGGATGTTGTTGGATACTTAGTCTATCTTCAAAGAAATTTATATTGTTGTATATTTGATGCTTTTAGCTATTATTATCTCTTTGGGCTGATGTTCAAGAATAAGCTTATGATAGCAGGTAAGGATGGAAGGGTCTCTGCTACTAACAAACAACAACAACATAATGATAAAATGTCAAAAAATCGAAAATTTTCTGACTTATTGCAGCAATGACTTGAATAATTTGTGTTGATGCCGGGGTTTAATGTTTTCAAATATTTTAGCTTTGGTCTGAGATTTAAGAATAGGCTTATGATAGCAGGTGAGGATAGGGAAATATATTTGTTACTACTAGTTTCATCTGTATGTGCCATATCTGGCCAAGTATAATGGACCATGGCATAGACATAGAAATTGTAGCAGTGTTGATGAAAACTGAATCATTCACTATTCATTATTTATTATGAAGTAATATTAAATTTGGAACACTCTAGTTTGGGTGATATTTGACAGGGAATTGCCCGAATTTAACAATTTAAGAATAGGCTTATGATAGTAGGCCATACGCATCCAGGGATGGCAATGCTTTTTCGAATACCTTTTAAGATAATGCTTATGAATTTGAAAGTAAGCTAAATCAGGTTATGCTAAACATAGAAAATTTGCAGAAATCGTTGTAAAAATCATGGAAATAGAATATGGTGGAATAGTTGAGATAAACATTGTTTTCAGATTGGTTTTTACACAGTTCTAATAGTCTAGAACTAAAGCTTATATAATGTCTAACCAGCATATTGTAAATAGCGAGTTCTCAATTAGAAATATACTGAATTCTGCCTAATATCATGAATTCACTATATCAGGAATCCCCTGGCTGAACTATGAATGTTTCAGTCTTTCAAATACTGATTTGAATTCTTGTAATAGCTGGCCAGTTACAATAACAGTTCCCTGTTTTAACTTATTGTGTTTCAGATAATCTGCCTCAAATCAGAACTGCAAAATTGATAAAAATCGACAAATACTGATAAAACAGCAATTTTGGCCGTTTAAATTCTGGAAATAGAGCTGAACAACACAAATTTTATTTTTTAGGCATTTGTACTTAGATGATCTTATCACTGATAAAAGATGAATTTACTGATAAAGGCGATGATGTTATACTGATAATGATAGCAAATTTAATAATTTGAATTATTCAAATATAACTTAAATAACTTTACTTGAATACCAAATTTTTTTCTCATCTGTGAAGTGATTAGTAATTTCATGGAAGTCACAGGAATGTTCATTTCCATTGCTGAGAAAACATGGAGTCAGACAATAATTGCGTCTAGACCTCCTAATTCTCCGTTAGTAGTTAATGGCGTTGCACTAATCACTCTTAAATTATGAATGGCATTGTGCATTGAAATAGATAAGTGATTCTCAATCTAGCACCACAGGGTTTTGCCTGAGCATGTTAGCACTTTTTATGTTGGACACTATTATTAAATTTGCTACACTTTGAAGATGATTTTGTTTTTTCAGTATAAGGTTTGCTTTTATATATATTTATAGTTTATACATTTTAGACAATAAAAGACAAACTTTTGCACAGGGGACCCTCGAGCATCTGGAATGTTTCATTGATGCTGCACCAAAATGTTCGAAAACCACAGCACAAGACGAGCAGTCTTTGATATGTTAGAAAATATTTTAATATTTAGAAAGTAGGGTTAGCCATAAGAAGAATACAGAAGCACAGTTATCAGTTTAAATAGGTAATGACATTGCAGTTAGTCAACTAATGGAAAATGTATAATGGTGCATAGTTGTGATTTAACAGTTGTTTTGCTGTGAACAAGGCTTTGTATAAGCACATAGTTTGAGGAATTACCTGTCCATGTAATACTCAAGTTTTATGTTTCAAGACCTTTGTTAGCGGACTTAACTTGTCTAAGACAATTCAACTATTGCATATGGTTTCTTCAGT